GTTTACATATCACGGTTCACCCCTCTAGGCCGTTTTCTAGTTGAACAGCTCGTCTTATCAATATGCCATGACCGTACGCATTTGGGTAAGAGGTCGCGAAATTTTATGACGTCTTTTAGCCCTGCAGGTTTCGTCGTCTTTGCCTTGTTCAAACAAGAAGATTCCCAAATTAAAAGCTAGGTAGCTATAGTAGGACAATCTCTACTGTGACCGGGAAGGTAAAAGCGGTTTAGATGTCGACTGCAGTAAAGGGTTTCAACCAAACAGGGAGCCAGTCGTTGCTGTTGTGTCCACCAAGGCGAGGTGTGTGTGTGTGTGTGGGCCTAAGCCATGTTTGGCTGCAATTAAGCCTCGAGCACCAGCATATCGATCGTCGCCACGGTGTTGGCGCTCCAAAGGCTGAGTCATAGGTGGCGCAAGTAGTCGATCCGTGGCGGGGAGGGGGGGGGGGATTTTAACCACTGTCGCCACGCCGAGTAAGCCGCTGCAGACAGGCATCCCACTTCACTAAGATGTGCACGTTTTAACACGCTGCGTTTCGTCCTCTGCACCACAGCTGGTAAAGTGGATCGCACGTATGCTACAGGGGCGGGAGAGAGTCCACTGCTGTTGAGCCCAACTCGCGAGGCAGGGGTGGGCGTCAACACATTTGACAGGGGAATACGCCTCACGATCTATCATCAATCATCTAAAACCTAAAAAGACCCACTGAGATATCGCTTTTCTGCCTTCACTAAAAGCATTAAGGATGACTTTATGGAGTTAGTTCTGGTAGGTGTGAGGTTCAGCTGAAGTTGGAGTAGTTAAAGGGTTTAAACAAATGGGTGCCACTATAGAGTGATTCCTACCATAGTAGGTAGGAACTGCTACTAAGGTCAAAAAATTAGAATCCGATTTAAAATATGTCGTCTGTATTGCGAAAATTAAATCCGAATTATATAACAGCAGTTAAGCAACAAATACCTCTTTAATATCACATGAGATTGCTACGAAGTGGTCTTCATCTACTTTAAAACGCGTCATCAGGGTTCATCCAAGTGCCCCTTAAGAAAGCGCTGTGGAAATTCGCGTTTTTTCTTCTAAATCTCAATCTTCCTGTCAAACCAAGTCCCCTTGATTTGGCGGTTGTGCGCACCTGTATTCGTGTCAACGTAATTTGGTAACAATCGTGAGATGGCACCCAAAAAATCCGCCTAACCAAAGCAGCCTGTCTTACGGGACAGGTGGTAATAGGGGTTTTATGGGTGGTGGCTGGTCGGGATGTACGATACTAGCCGACGGAAAGCCTTATTTGAACAGATGAATGACCGAACTTGGCCCGCTCTCCGTTCCGTTATTTAAAAAAATAGGTCGCCAAAGACAGCATAGTGGTAACGGACGAGTGGAAGGCGTATCATTGTCTTCCCTCAGAAGGTTATCTACATTTCTCTGTTAACCACTCAAAGAACCTCAAGGACCCTACCACCGGACGGCACACCAATGCCATTGAGGCATACTGGAGTAGACTGAAAAGGAAACTCCACGAGGGAGGCCCTGTATGTGGTCGAGCTGTGTGGGTTCACGCAGACGAAGTACAGTATCGTCTTTGGTTTGGCCTCAATGCCATGTCTTTGACAGATGCCTGGGAACTGTTCCTGTCCCATGTTGTTCAGACTTATCCTATTTAAAAGTAATTTTTTTTTGTAATAAACTGCCATAATGCGAATGTATGCCGTATATTCAGGTGTACGTGTGTAACGATGGGGAAGGTTGGGTAACAGCGACCATCGCCCATGTAACCTCGTGCGATGTTCGTTCGGCTAGCCCATGTTAGGCCGTCGGGAAAAGTCCAAGTAGTGCATGAAAGTAGGCCTGCAACCGCTGATATA